CGTATGTGGGTGGATTTGTCATCTGCTTTAGCTCGACACTGATTTTCGTTTTTTTCGACGCATAAAACTTTGACTGACGTCGCGAACTGCACATTATCTGAGGACGTTAAAACATCTGGAGGCCAGCCTTGAACCGACGACCTTCTAGTTGCGAGAGCGGTGCTGCCAGCGGCGCCGCGGTGCTGCCCACACAGGCGCAGTCAGCGGCGCGTCGGCGACTGGTGCGGCGGTGCGCCCACAACGCCCAGGCGGCCACAACCTCAGCCGGTCAACGGCCATCAGCTCTCATCCGGTCTCACATCAAGCGGTCTCACCCGGTCTCACCTGGTCTCACCTAACACAATCTCACCCGGTTTCACCCGGTCTCACCTCCGCCGCGTTGTCGATCATGTTGTCGTCCTTCATGACCTTGACCACCTCCTCGAGCAGCAGCACCTTGGCCGGGTCACCCATCCACGTGTTGTAGATGCGGTAGGCCTGCGGAGCCCTGATTACACACAGGCCGTCACACGCACGCACACATACACATACGGAGACACGGTCTACGGATGGAATTGAGCTCATCGGTGGAAAAGGGCTTCAATGACATACACTTCACCTTAAAGAGAGCGTTGCATATTTGTACGGAGTTTTGAACTAAAAATGTAATCCTGAGGATCATAAGGTACATTTCACAGCCATGCCCTTCTTAAGGTATGAGCACCTCTACTTTCTAAGCAACACGCCAGCTAAGATGTTCAGCCTATTTCGGGGAACTATTTCAAGATCTCTCAGGTATCCGTGACACCCCAATAACGTCATTCAAATCCTGTCATGTAATTTTTCATGCGGCGATCAAGGCCAAGAATAATACATTATCGGGTCGTTCAAATTGGCGTCCGTGAACACCATATCCAGATAAAACGGCCGCCAATTGGCTCTCAATCAATATTGTGCAAGGTAAGATAACGTAATAAAAACAATGACGTCTTGAGGACAATATCTCCTGATCGAGGAACTTGTGTTGTCTACAACAGTGTTTTCCACTCCAAAGTATACCAATAGTTACATGCAAGCTCAATTCATCATATATGATGCTTGCTTCAATATCTTCAAATGTGAAACATCCCCTTTGAGTAACCGGAAGCACGCCACTGACAGATACGGCCGACATGCACGTAGTGCTTGTTATTGCAGCTAAGACTAAAAGGCAGGCACAAATCCTAACTGAAAAACTATTGGGTTGAATTAATACGTGTACCTGCGTTGCATGAGATATCAAAGCAAGCGCGTGGTCGCGCGCTTCCGCTCTGCCCGCACATGTATGGCAATACGCACGCTGGCAGCGAGATTGTAGGGTCGTGGGCATTTGTCCATGTCATGATAGTTGGTGGCATGTTACTATCCGAGGTACGGCATTCGATTCCGCGTTACCCGCCCGTCCTCCCAGGGTGAGACGTAGGCGAAGCCACACAGCCTCAGCAGCTGAGTGCGTCGTAAAGCTTTCAACGACGTTTATTCAAAAAACCGGCTAGCGTCACCTTCATGCAGGGCGGACGCCACTGACGCCTGACACGCAGCGGGACTCGATTCAGTGCGTTGGCGGAGTAAACTAGCACGCAGTACCGATCTCGGGCAGTGCGTGAACACCGCGCGGCACCAGCAGCTATGTAGCATGGCCGCCTACAACACCGGATAGCGTTTTCTGGGGACACGGGACATGTTTGTCGACGCTTCTGCCTGATACGCACCTGAACTGGGTCGAGTGGTAGTACCCTCCGGTCAGCATCTTCTTACTGAAGGAGACGATGTCGGGCGGCCCGTCCAGCTCGAACCACTCGTGGGCCCACATCTTGCCCGTCACGCCGCAGCCCGTCTGCACCTCGTCCACCATAAACGCCATCTCGTACTGAAAACCGGAACCGATAGTTCTTAAGGCAGCGCACAGGGGGGGGGGGAGGAAATCGGCCAGCGTGACAGACTACGGGTTCCATGGCCACAGCTCGAGTTCTGAAGCCCGAGTTCGAGCCTGTAGTAGAAAATACCTTAAACTTAGGTGGCCTTATTTGGTCCACCTGGTACAATGGCGGCAATATGCGTAACAGTGGCATGCAGTATTGATCAACATGATGTCCAATGACATGAACAGCAGGATCACCGGACCGTCAGAAGTGTGGGGACGCCCTCAGGAGTGCCTGGTACAGACGCTCTCTCCGGGCCAATCAAGTCCAAGCGTCGGCTTATGGCCAACGCTTCAGTTCTACAAGAGGTGGGTGGGCCATACAGCCCTCGCTCCAGCGCGGTTCCTGCGCTTACAGAAACCGTCGACTGTCAAGCGCGGACGACCAGACGAGGTGGGGAACCTGGCACGTGCCCCCATGGTGGATTAGGCTTGCGATCGGATGTCAAGACGCCACCTGGTGGACTGCACTATCTGGAAAGCCCAGGTGCGCGCGAAACACAGAGAAAACGCGCTTGATAAATCAGAAATTCCAACAACGCGCGCGATGAAAAACAAACCTGATAGGAAAACGAGAAAAATGCCCCAAAACCAACGTGTTTCCCCGCAAAAATGGTTAAACCGCATCCATGCGGGCAGGCGCAGGGCACATATACACGCAATATTTTACACGCAGATTTTTGTGCGCACGGAAGTGAGTGAAAAATGTGTACTCGACGGACACAAGGCGTTGGAAACCAATGACTCATATTTTCCCATATCTGTCTTCAAGAGAGAACAGGAATCAACCAATCTAAAACACGGGGAAGCACCAGAATGATTTCGGTGATTACTGTTTACAACTACCACACATAACCAACACATAAATACCTCGTGCCAGCGGTCACCCGCCCAACAGGCCTATCGCCGTTATTGGCCGATGCACTCTCCCTGTCCCCGCCACCAGCCAGGGGCAGGCACTGCACACTCGACCACAGAGGTGCCAACGCACCGCCGCCTGAGCTCAGGTACAAATCAGCCGAGAGCAGAGGGCGGTCTCCACGCACCACCACCTGAGCTCAGGTACAAATCAGCCGAGAGCAGAGGGCGGTCCACGCACCACCACCTGAGCTCAGGTACAGCGTCAGTGACATCAGCCGAGAGCGGAGGGCGGTCCACGCACCACCACCTGAGCTCAGGTACAGCGTCAGTGACATCAGCCGAGAGCAGAGGGCGGTTCACGCACCACCGCCTGAGCTCAGGTACAAATCAGCCGAGAGCAGAGGGCGGTCCACGCACCACCACCTGAGCTCAGGTATAGCGTCAGTGACATCAGCCGAGAGCGGAGGGCGGTCCACGCACCACCACCTGAGCTCAGGTACAAATCAGCCGAGAGCAGAGGGCGGTCCACGCACCACCACCTGAGCTCAGGTACAAATCAGCCGAGAGCGGAGGGCGGTCCACGCACCACCACCTGAGCTCAGGTACAAATCAGCCGAGAGCAGAGGGCGGTCCACGCACCACCACCTGAGCTCAGGTACAAATCAGCCGAGAGCAGAGGGCGGTCTCCACGCACCACCACCTGAGCTCAGGTACAAATCAGCCGAGAGCAGAGGGCGGTCCACGCACCACCGCCTGAGCTCAGGTACAAATCAGCCGAGAGCAGAGGGCGGTCCACGCACCACCACCTGAGCTCAGGTACAGCGTCAGTGACATCAGCCGAGAGCGGAGGGCGGTCCACGCGCCACCACCTGAGCTCAGGTACAGCGTCAGTGACATCAGCCGGGAGCGGCGGCCGGCCGCAGCGCATGGCAGGCCAGGGCTTTAACCAAAGACACGTTTAACTCATTCTTTACGACGGATTCGAAATCATTAACAACTGTGACGTTTGCCTCCCTGGTGGAAGAGGAACAACTTCAAAGAAGTTCATTCAGACGCGCAAACTGGCCCTGGCCCTGATTACGAAACTCGGCTGATGAGAATTGAATAGTATCAGCACAATCCGCCAGACAACTTCATGCAATACAACCTACATCCGGCAGGCTACAACCCCAAGGCTGTGGCCCGCTGCAGGGCCCACATCGCACGCTCTCCGGGCGACGGTAATATGGCAGATGTGTTGACATCCATACATAATGGGCGATGATGATTACGAGTTTTGTGACGCGTCCACCGCAAATGACTAAGCCGCGCCCATGCCTATTGCAATCCGAATTCAACGCTTTTCGAAATAAGACAATACTGTTAGGCTTATTTGTCGTAGAATAATCAGGAGAAAGGAGAGATAGATGTAATATATAATACATCTATTTTCCCTTTCTCCTGATTTGTTTTACGGGCAATGCGGCTTATAGTACTGTGTTACCTATATGTACAATGTTCCCACAAAATTCTCTTGTTCAAAATTTTAAAAAGTCCCCCAAACTTAACGTTTTTGAAACAGAAAAACCGTCCACATTTCAAACACTATGAGAGTCAAGCATGGTGTAATGGCGAAAACATCATCATAAGACCTGCGGCACAAAGAAAAAGCTTTCCAGTTTCCATAGCTAGAGATGCATTGCCCAAAACGTCGGAAAGTGTAATATCTGAGGCGCTGCGTCTAAACAAACACACTCGCCCTCCAACCAGGTCACGACATGTGATCAACCCGTGGTGCACAGCCAGTGGATCGGTGCACCGGGGGCAGTTGGCACTATTATCAGAAAACAGCAAGGCACCGTGGGGGGCAAGGAGCGTCCCATGGGTAGCCGGCAAAGAGCGACTTCATCCCTTCTTTGTGGAAATACGACAGCCAGAGAAAAGTATGTACAAAGTAAACGTATGTAAACGCGTGTAAAAAGATACAAGGAAGGAGATGAATGAGCGTGTTACGGGATCACACACAAAAGCACAGCGTCCCATGATTTATGCACCCGGCAACCTGATTAATTGTCCGCATGTTCGGGATGCGAAGCTGTCTATTCAGAGTCTAAACCGTCTCATCGTTTAACCGTTGTTTAAATGTCCTCCTATCCGTATGGAAAGAAGTTTCCGCCGAACCACCCCCAGATGAGCGCCCGCCCATCAACACTGCTTATATAAATGCCGACATCCTCCGCCGGGCATCGTTAGCTAGAACTAGCATAAGGATTCCGCCAAATGTGTCAAGGTGTCAAATAAATAACGTTGTCCCAAATTTCCATTGTTTTAATATCAGCTTATTACTTCTTGCAACCAATGGCCCCAATTACTACTCGAGCGCTGCATTCCCTCACTAGAATAGAGCGAGACAAAAACTATCGTGGGTACGTAATTTGCATCTGCATCAAATAGGTTGAGGTGCGTACAAATTTGCGTGATGACAAAAGAACATCAACTGTTCAAAAATATAGGACTGTGTGCATGGTGGAACAAGGCGGCTAAGCTTGGCCAATGGCTCTCTACTTTTTGAATTTGGGTCCAGGTGCACCATTGACGTGGAATTCCCTCATTTCACCTTACTAGCGTCCCTAGTGCTGTTGCTGGAAAGCGCCGTCATTTCATCATAACATTTTCAGCGAGGTCCGACAAAACAAATCTTGAGCAAGCTCCCCGGCAAAACAAATAAAATAATGCATAAATCATGTTGCGCTGCGCTGCACTAATCACAGAACTATATTACTAGAGGTGCGTTTCTTTCAAACTTGCACATTTTATTATTGTTTTACTTCAGCCGGATAGACAACAGAGCGCTACGCACGGTACAGCAATATGTACCGGCAACCAGACAATTCGCAAAAAAAAACACACTGAGCAGTTTTCGCCCCAAAACTATAACACATCAATTATCCAGACAGCATCAGCTACGCGGAAGATGTCCGGTAGCGTACTAGCATGAATAAAATCGTCGAATTCGCCACAAGAACACCAACCATACTTTTCAACAATGTGTCATCCCTTGCATACATGATCAATTACATTTGATTACTGCAGGTATTCACTGCAAGGTCTGAAGTTAAATTACTGCACGTAACTAAACAATCAGCTTAATAACTTTTTCCATGCAACTAGCCCACGACATGTGTCCACTTACATACATAGTAAGGTTCATGGTGTTATTACAGTTTCCATTTTGTGACAGGACATTGGGGTATTCTAATGTAATGAAACCATGGCAGATCAGCTCCATCACTGGTTCACTCAAAGGACAACACGCCACAAACTTGACCCACGATAAGGTAGCTGCCATTCTACGAGCAAAAGGCTATAAAGTGAAGGAGTTCAAAGGTGAGCCACCACTAGTAATTATTGCAGACATTGCGTACTTTCCCGAGCAGGTAATGCCCGAGTTGTCACAAGGCCGGTTCACTGGCGTCACCTCAAGCAAGAAAATATGGGTGGATGAAAAAGGCGTGGCTCAGTGCTGGTACTTTTTTGATACCGAGTCACAAGCCGACAAGAAGATATTCAAGGACGCGGTAAAGACGTGGAGTGACAAAAGCTGCATCAAGTTCAACAAGATTCCAGACGGCCCATGCACACAGAAAGTCGGGCACGGCGCCATCTGCGTAGGAGACTACGGCGGCTGCTTTTCTTTTGTAGGCAACATCTACAAGGAGGGAGGGACACCACAGAAGATGTCCGTTCAGCCCAATGGCTGCGAAATGGTGGCCGCGGCACACGAGTTCGGCCACGCGCTGGGCAACCAGCACCAGCAGAGCCGTCCAGACCGAGACAAATTCATGTTCGTCAACAACGAGAACTTTGAGGTGTCGGTGGACAAGAGCAAGCGGGGCGATGCCTTGTCGAATACGTGGGCGCAGGGTGGCCGCTGCGCCAAGGATCAGGTGGTCGACCTGCCGGTGCCTTACGACTACATGTCTCTGATGCAGTACGCCACGACGGCTTTTGCCGATGACGACCTCCGGCCCATTTTTGTGTCCACCGACGGGCACTACCAGTACATACTCGATTATCACCGCAAGGCGGGTATGGCGCAGTCGCATTACGACATGTACGCCCTGAACACGGTGTACGGATGCGGCAAACTCTGGGCTGCGCAATGTAAAACTATCGGAAAACATGTGCCAAAATGCACAAACTTGGGCTTCTTGACTAAAAACTGCAAGTGTCAATGCCCTCCGGCATATAAAGGTGAAACGTGTGGCACGAAAGCAGGGCCTATATTTCCCCTCCTAGCCAAAGCGAAAGTGATGATCGATGTGAAAGAGTCCCAGAAAATTGATCTGGGAACTAAAAAGTTTGTGCCGGACAAGGGTGATGCAGTATTGGACGACTTCAAAAATTTTCAGTTCTTCACGGTGATAGCTGACTGGTGACCCCAAGACGCAAGTGTCAATAAACATAAAACAGAGCGCGCACAAGAGTCCGAGCTTTCTTAGTGCACAAAGCGCCGCCTTCCTTTTGAGAACCTTCAATAAACAAGATTGCGCGATTATCCTGTACTGGGGTCTTTCGAAAAAGGGCCAGCTGAGGACCGAGTGCCTGTCATCCGTGGCCAACAACGAACCTGACGGACCCATGTTTAACAGCAGGAGCAGCCACCTGGACATGATTTACCGCAGCAGCATAGGCTACAGCCTTGGCGATCCCAAGATCAGCATCACCTTGATGCAGCTACAGTTGGACGTCGTCTTTGCCCCCAAGCCTGACAAAGTGCTCAAGCTGAAGAAGGCAGCGTCCAGTGGCGGCAGCAACGGCGGTAACAGCACCGGCGGCAATGGCACTGACCCGGGCGCGTCCAGCATGATTGGTGCCGGTGCCGGCGTCGGTCTGGGAGTGGGTCTGACGCTGCTGGTACTCTTGCTCATCGTGTGTATCGCGACTGCCCTTATCGCCAGGAGGAAGAGGCAACTGGCAGCCATGCTAGACCCGGACGCCATGCTGGACAACATCGCCGAACACCTAGGTGACAGCAGCGACTCAACCAGTACTTTCTTTGACGACACAACCGACAGCGACGACGATGACAAGTCGTGATGGTGTCGTGCGGCAATGAGTTCAGGTGTGTCTTCAGCATGCAGTGACGCGGACGAGGTTGTGTTCTGTGGCTTGCTAGTCGCCTATTACTGGGAGGAAAACGGGGGGACGAAGAGGTGATCGGGCTCGAAACAACTGTGAAAAGAAGACAATGAGCCGGGAAAAGTGCCGCCCAGTTTGACGACGCATTTGATGCGGAGTTTTCGACACGGGAAACACTTATTAGTGTGCGGCCTCATAACTAGTTATTACAAAGGTGTATCATTCAACCTATCTTAAGTGATGTCCGAAGAAACAACCGTTAAGAAGACACCAAATAACACGACGCTGGAGTCAAAAGGGTTTAACATCGAAAGGCATCAGGGACAGTATCATTGAAATGGAAGTGGCCGAGGTGTCGACCAGCATGGCAACGAACATAATCAAAGCTGATAGATCAAGATTGCATGAATACAGACTCCCTTGATAGCTATTCCTTTATAAGTAATCAGCGGCCTCAGAAACAGTCGATACACGAAACAAAGTTAACGTGAAGGTATCAATTCCAAGATATTTATGCTACGGCATGTGGAAACATTTGCTTTTTGCTGCGCAGCTCGTGGTGTCAACACAGTTCTCATCTGCAGCATCAGGGCATTCTAAGTTAACGAAACCGTGGCAAATGGAATCTTTCGCCGAACGGTTAAGGGGGCACAATGCTCAAAATCTGACGTACAGTGAAACAGCAGCCATTCTACGAGCCCGAGGCTACAAAGTGAAGGAGTTCAAAGGTGAGCCACCATTGGTAATGATTGCTGACACTGCGCACCTGCCCGAGCAGGTAATGCCCCAATTGTCACAAGACCGATTCACTGGTATCATCTCAAGCAACAACCTATGGAAGGACGAAAGAGGCTCAGCTCAGTGCTGGTACTTTTTTGACACAGAATCACGAGCAGACAAGAATGTGTTCAAGGCCGCGGTAAAGACGTGGAGTGACAAAAGCTGCATCAAGTTCAACAAGATTCCAGACGGCCCATGCACACAGAAAGTCGGGCACGGCGCCATCTGCGTAGGAGACTACGGCGGCTGCTTTTCTTTTGTAGGCAACATCTACAAGGAGGGAGGGACACCACAGAAGATGTCCGTTCAGCCCAATGGCTGCGAAATGGTGGCCGCGGCACACGAGTTCGGCCACGCGCTGGGCAACCAGCACCAGCAGAGCCGTCCAGACCGAGACTTGTTCATGTTCGTCAACAACGAGAACTTTGAGGTGTCGGTGGACAAGAGCAAGCGGGGCGATGCCTTGTCGAATACGTGGGCGCAGGGTGGCCGCTGCGCCAAGGATCAGGTGGTCGACCTGCCGGTGCCTTACGACTACATGTCTCTGATGCAGTACGCCACGACGGCTTTTGCCGATGACGACCTCCGGCCCATTTTTGTGTCCACCGACGGGCACTACCAGTACATACTCGATTATCACCGCAAGGCGGGTATGGCGCAGTCGCATTACGACATGTACGCCCTGAACACGGTGTACGGCTGCGATAAACTCTGGGCTGCGTCTTGTAGATTTAACGGAAAACACGTGCCAAAGTGCACAAACATGGGCTTCTTAACTAAAGACTGCACGTGTCAATGCCCGAGGGAATATACAGGTGAAACCTGCGACACGAAAGCAGGGCCTACATACCCCATTCTAGCCAAAGCAAAGGTGATGATCGATGTGAGGAAGTCCCAGAAGATTTATCTGGGAACCAAGACGTTTGTGCCGGACAGGGGTGATGCAGTATTGGACAACTTTAAATATTTTCAGTTCTTCACGGTGATAGCTGACGGTGACACCAAAACACAGGTGTCAATAAACATAAAACAGAGCGCATACAAGAGCCGCTTCTTTTTAAGTCGACAATCCGCCTTCTTCATCATAAGAAACATCCACTTTATGGACTGCCAGATCAATCTGTTCTGGGGCCTTTCGAAAAAGGGCCAGCTGAGGACCGAGTGCCTGTCATCCGTGGCCAACAACGAGCCTGACGGACCCATGTTTAACAGCAGGAGCAACCACCTGGACATGATTTACCACAGCCACATCGGTCGCATCTACACCGATCCCAGGGTCACCATCGCAGTGATGCAGTTGCACCTGGACGTCGTCTTCGCCCCCAAACCTGACGAAGTGCTCACGGTGAAGACACCGCCCAGTGGCAACGGCTATGACAGCGGTGACGAAACTGAACGGTGCGCATCCCGCATGTCAAGCTACAGCGCCGGCGTCGGTCTGGGAGTGGGCCTGACGCTGCTGGCGCTCCTCATCGCTGCTGGCGGCGCAGCGGCCTACATATTCAAGAGGAAGCGGCAGCTGGCATGGGGTGAGAGCCCAGATGCCACACCTGATGGCGCCAGTAGCGACACCGATTTCGGCTCCGCCTCCGACCACAACGCCAGTGCCAAGTAATCATGGTGAAGCAAGGTCGGCCGACGCCGGGCTCGCAGCCGCGAGAGGCCCCGCAGCACACACCGTAAGCCCTGCGCCCGTTGTCCTCGTTGTCCTTCGAGCCGCCAACGACAACGGACGAGCCGCCAACGAAAACGGACAATGCGAAGGAAACCCCCTGATAATGGCACCGCTATCGACGTTGGCGGGCCGTGGACCAGGGACGCTGTATAACACAGCTGTCGCTCGAGCTTTCAGGCATCCTCGCCGACCGTCCTGCGTAGTAAGCATCGCTGGATTTCCTAAAGCTCTCGGCCATGCCGTGCAGGCTGTGTGTGTACACTTGCAGGCACGAGAAAACGAAGGTGACGACTTACGACGCGACAAAAGCATTGCATTCAAACGATGTCTTGCAAACAAACGTTTTTCCTCTGTATATAATCTTCTAAATGCATTCCATTCAAATTTCTTTCATTGCTGAAGCAAAGCCAAGGTAGTGCTTATGATGGATTTCAGATAAGGGGCGTACGGACAAAATAATTTTCTCTCCTACAAAACCGCATGTAAGACATGCCGCAAATACATATCGCAAAATGCGAGGTGAGTTGCGCACGAGGGAAGGAAAAATAACAACTCTGCGAAAACTTGCACGAAATGAAGACACTGCAACTCCTATCTAGGTCATGCCTGGCACCCAAAGCTTCTTGAGAAGGCTGCGCAGACGTGACGTCACCATCGGACAAAAGTCTGACAACCCGTAGTGTGGCTTTTATTGATACTAGGCAAAGGTTGGCGCATATCAGTAACATGACCACGAACGGAGATTTCGCCAATGAACTGGGTAGGAATCCTGTTCTACGTCTTTATTCCAATGTTATGTGAATAGATATTGTGCATCTTGCACTTAAAACCTAACGCCCAATGAATACTGCGGTCTGCTTCCAAAAATTAGCCCTATTAAACCACGACTTCTAGGTTCAGTACCCGCGCCACATTGGTTGCAGTCAACGTGCCTGAAACTTTGTCATGTGTCTTGGTGAAATGTACATTCAGTTGTAAATACAGGGATATCATGTGTAATGCTTACATTCAATTTGTAAATGGATAATAACTGTCCATTTATCGTCGTAAGGCAGTACCTATATGGAGTGAAATGTGAAAACAAGGTAATGTGAGGAGGGCAGGTGCCAAAAATTTGGTTTTTACAAAAACATGATATTCCTAGTCGTTGGTTAACTTGCAGATCCATAATGCCGGATGGGTTAGGTGAACAAGATATGCAAAGCATAATACCCGACTACCCTTATATATCCCTTGACTATTTCCCAGCTGAAATATGGGCCACCACTCTGACTGGCAGAAACTGCAAAACTTGCCAGAAATCGTCCCATTTTACAGGAAAATTTGCTATCTTGAACTGAAATGGCGCTTTGCATTTACGCCTCCCGGGGTTCGACCCTCACTACCCCCATTAAGGCAAGCCAACTCTGCATCCACCCTGGCAACATCCCTCCTAAGGCTGCAGAGCGTGCATTACAGTTTCTCAGTGCGCGCCCCACGGTGCTGCGAGCCCGTCTGGGACACCGTTTCTGATATTTATGTTGTTGTATGTTGATCTCTACGTTGTTGCATGCCGTATTATTTTACACAGACTGTTTCTTAGACCTTACGGTTGGAGTTCAAAGGAATACATCAGTGATAAATAGGCTACCCCATCTCGCCGTCGGGTGCAGATTGGAACCATCTTTCAGCAATGATTTTGCAGCTCTGGTGCAAATCAACACCATTTCCTAGCTAGAAATGCTTCATTGAATGTGCTAGGTCGGCACAATCCGGTTTATCAAACTAATTACATTGAAACCAGCCCACAAAAAACAGTTTTCACGCCGCCGTAGCCTTGGTGCCATATTATTAAAACCCATGATGACGTCACGGCATCACTATCCAGAATACAGTAATGCGGGGGCTTAATTGGCACTCAGCCATTGCAGCAGCTACGAGATCGCAGGTGATACCAAGCGTCAGCCCTTTAAGCACACCACCAGGCAGGAGGAGTCGAGACCGACAGGTCAGAGAAGCAGAGAATGACTGACCAGAACAGAGACCGACAGGGCGGAGAGGCAGAGGGTGACTGACCAGGGCACAGACCGACAGGGCGGAGAGGCAGAGAGCGACAGACCAGGGCCGAGACCGACTTCCGGCCAGTTGTTGTCAGGTCAGTGTTAGCCCGTGTCAGGCCCGTTTCAGATATCACACCGCCTCAGCGCTCCATTTCACGTGACTGCAGATGTCAGGTCACGCAGTGTCAGGCGGTGTCATGTCATCTGACGTCTGGTCTGCGTCTGGCGCCGGGCCAGCGGATGTCTCCCCGGTGCCAGTGATTGTGGGTGGCTTTAGCCGCGCCGGGCCAGCGGTCGTCTCCCGGTGCCAGTGATGTGGGTGGCTTTAGCCGCGCCGGGCCAGCGGTCGTCTCCCGGTGCCAGTGATGTGGGTGGCTTTAGCTGCGCGGGTCAGCGGATGTCTCCCGGTGGCCGGTGACGTGGGTGGCTTTAGCTGCGCCGGGCCAGCGGTTGTCTCCCGGTGCCAGTGATGTGGGAAGCTTTAGCCGCGCCGGGCCAGCGGTTGTTTCCCGGTGCCAGTGATGTGGGTGGCTTTAGCCGCGCCGGGCCAGCGGATGTCTCCCGGTGCCAGTGATGTGAGTGGCTTTAGCCGCGCCGGGTCAGCGGTTGTCTCCCAGTGCCCAGTGATGTGGGTGGCTTTGGCTGCGCCGGCGTCAGGACGGGCGGTTGTCGCGTCTCCGGGTGTCAGATAGACCTTGCTCTGTTTTGCTTTTCCCAGTTAAGCCGTTTTCCGGCCAGTGCATGATCTCAGGTGTGTGGTGCGGTTTGGTGGCGGCGTGGGCTCGCACGTGGTGGCTGTGGGGGGCTTCCATTTCGGGCTTAAGTACCGGACTCTGGGTGGCACTGCGGCTGCGAACGCTTCGAAGCAAGTTTGGGGGCTTCGATTTCGGGCTGAAGCACCGCGCCGTGCCACCGGACGCTGGGTGCCACTGCGGCTGCGAACGCTCCGTGACAGGTTTGAGTGTCGATTTGCAGAACGCAGCTTTCCAGGTTCGGATCGCCAGGTGTTTGCAACTCCGGATTATTACGCAAGTTCATCAACATTTCGCGCAACAAGTTTCAAGTGCGCACCGGAAGAGTTTAATCATATGGCATGCATTTGGTCACGAATCGCTGCCGAGAGCCCTTTTCACTGGAATGACGACCTAAATCTGCCCCTCCCCATTCCTACATCATGAAAACCACAAATACCACGTTGGCCGGGTGGGTGAAGATAACAAAAGAGGCAAATGCTGAGACAGCATCTGAAGGTTTTCACTAAAATACGTGGGATCGATTTCATTTTCGGTGCGCAAAGGAATAACGGAACACATGCCCCCGGTGCTAAGGTTCCATTGGCTGGTAGGGAGCACTATGTCCAGCGTTTACTCAAGTGATTCCAGGACCTTCACATACAGTCAAACCACAAATGTTGTCTTTCGTCACGTTCGAAGTACTGGGTTGCGGAGGTGCTATCCTGACATACAATGCGTCCTCTTCACGGCATATGGGGTTTACGCTCACGTGATTCTTAAAAATACAGCAATGCGGTAGCATGACGAGCCTCCAGACACACGGCACGTGCAAAACTGACGGAGCGCACTCTTCGCCTCGCCCGGCGTCTGCTGATATAGACCACAAATGCATTGTGTGCACCAACAATGGCGGAGATAATAAGACTATCATTGGACGCGCGCGTTTCGTTGTGTTGCATGTTACAACCGGAAAGGTAGCACAAGTAATGAATCATTTAGGATTCGTTCCCGAGTGCTGCTGGGAACGAACATACTGAGCATGGATCACAGCACAATCTCGGACCAGGACTACAGCCTTTACGTCGACCGCCTTCTGATCGGTATCTGGCCTCAAGTCACCCGGTGTCTGATCTGTACTTGACCTCAGGTCGGCTGGTGCCCGGTCCGTATCTGATCCCAGGTTCGCTGGTGTCAGGTCCGTGTCTGACCTCAGGTCGGCCGGTGTCTGATCGGTATCTGTCCTCAGGTGGGCCGGTGACCAGTCTGTGTCTGACCTCAGGCCAGCCGGTGCCCAGTCCATGTCTGACCTCAGGTCAGCCGATGTCCAGTCCGCGTCTGACCTCAGGTCGGCCAGTGTCAGGTCCGCGTCTGACCTCGGATCAGCCGGTTCCCAGGCCGTGTCGGACTTCAGGAAAGCCAGTGTCTGATTGGTGTCTGACCCCAGATCTGCCGGTGCCCAGTCCATGTCCGACCTCCGGACGGCCGGTGTCCAGTCCGTGTCTGACCTCAGGTCAGCCAGTGCCCAGTCCGTGTCTGACCTGAGGCTGACCAGTGTCCGGTTGTTAACATTTGACCTTGGGCCATTGGACGTGCGGCCCCTGACCGACCTTCTTGGCAAGCGCCTGCAGTCCGCGGAAGAACGTGGGCGAGCCGTGGTTATCGCCACCCTCCGCCTGTATGGGCTCCACCACCATGCCGGCCACCCACTTGCCGGCCCGGTTGTACTGCTCGACCACCTCCTCCACCTGGCGGAGCGGAAGCCCAGCGTCACCAGCCAGCGCACACCATGGCACTGCAGCCCGGGACAGCGCCAGACAGGAAGGCCAGACCATAAACTACACCAGCCCGAGGACAGCACTGACTGACGGGCGGAGTCTGAACGGAGCCACTCTCCCCAAGCGTTTGCCGGCCTTCACACAACTGCCAACCCTAGAAAACATGCACACACGCACAGACACACGCCAAACGACAACCTTGGGAGTCCCAACCAGAACTGGCTATTACATGTACCAACCTCGCGCCACTTCTGGGGTATATCTGCAGAATGCAACTATGTCTGCGTCGCTTGTCTGCACCCCGGCTGGGCCGGCGGCCCGTCTGCGGGAGGCCGCAGAAGGCCTTGACGATCGGCCGGGGTCAGGGCGACTATGCGCGTGGACGGCGGGCAGGCAGGCGGAGAGTGCCGAGGCGGCTCTGGGTTGGTGTGCACGCGACACCACGTGCAGGGCGCCGACACAGTCAAGTGAACGAGATCTTCCTCTCTGCCGTCACACGCCTGTTCTCACAGACACCCTGACCTTACTGCAGATCACCGCCATCGGTTGCCTGGCACAGATATGCATCCGTTTTGTTGCCCACGTCCGAAACAGGCCCCAGACCACCTCCAATGTAGCGCGGCGCCAGTTCTGGCTCGGTGACGCCCGTCAACCCATTCAAAGCGACCCCGGGCCGACTGATGTTGCGCACTGTCTGATGCGTGCCAGGGGACCTCCTGGGGCCGGGTAGCGGTTGGCGGGCCCAGCGCGCGGCAGCCTCGATTTCAATGGCCATGTTTGGTCAGGTGGCCCTGAGATTGGGAAATAAGCTTGCGGTATGTAAAGGCGATTCACACCCGTCCCTCCCCCCCCCCCCCCCTAACAAAGCACGGGTTAGGTCAACGACTTTGTCGCTGTGACTGGTCATCAGGTGAGCGTTTTAACAGCAAGTGAGATATGTGAGCAGCCATATAACACAAAACACACGCCAAATTGACAAGCATGCCACTCAGCCGAACTGCAACAACCAAACTGCTCACTCGGCCCCACCTGTCTTCCACCCTATTCACCTGCTGCAGGCAGCGCGCATCCTCAGTCCGGTTTTCGGCCTCATGCTCCTCCAGCGGGTACTGGTAGGCAGGGAACGGCGCCACCGGCCAGTCCAGCGCCGGAATGTCCACCTTATGCAAGGGCTTGGAGCGCGTGGTGGACAGGGAGCCCAGGGTGCGGCCGTGGAAGGCGTGCGTGAACGAGAGCACCGATAGTGGCGGGCTGCCCGGCGCTCGGTTCATCATGCACGACTGCATGTCCTCGGCCGGTGGCAAGTCCGTGCTGCCGCGCTGCCTGTTCCTGCAGAGGGACGCGGGGGGGGGGGCGTCAGCAGAGGGGGATGGGGCCGGGCGGGGAGACTGTCGTGCTGGGGGACACGGACCACGGGCTTCTAACGCCACTACGGTTGTTGGAGTTTAACGTAGAGACCATCGATTGCTGCAGAAAGCATTTCATGTAGTTCGTTTAAGTTGCATATTGTACGGATTCAATGCTTTCAAAACCGTCGTTCTACTCCCAGGGGAGGCGCGCGGGTCGAGGCGATCCTTGAATTCCGGGCGAATGAAACTATCGCACAAAGCAGACGTCTTTATTACGTTCACGAAGGTGGCAAATACAAATGTGGATGTTCAAGAACTCATTCACACTCGAGAACTTAAGTCGTTAGATCTGAACGAGGATACGATAAAAGCCAGATAAGTGAAACAGATTCGATACACGGGAAACATCAGCCTTACCTATAAGTCATAAACATGGCTTTGTAGGCATTTTCGTTACTGCACGATCCACAAGCCATTGTCTGCACGTTTGGCATGCCTTTGGGTGCCACCTGCGGGAACCGACAACACCAGCCACTTGCAACGGTCATACAAACACCAGAAGGTCTCCAATACATGGAAATGGATGCATCCGTCACCGGCACGACTGCACCTGCTACAAAAGCCGAGATGAGCACGGCTATCTGAACGCAGCGCTGTGGTATGTTCGCGGCCATCCGGACGACACTCTACACCGTCCACGTCATTCATGACGTCACACCATAACCACAGATAGCATTTTGGTGTTCACATCGACCCGGACGACACAGATGATACGTGACGTCACGTAATATCGTTGTCTGAATCTTTTTCCGTCGCTTGATATAAGTACGACATGAACATGATCTAAGAGTAGCCAGACCATCATCCCGGGTTGGACGACCGCCGGTCGGCTCCGGCGGGCGCGTCACGTCACGTGACGGCGGGCACGTACCGAAAGCAGAGCCGACCGCAGTTTCAAGGGCCATTCCGCGTCGGGGAAGGAGCCGAGCGCCGGCCGGTTCACGGACGCCAGCTGAAACGCGCGACGGAACGCGGCTCAAGCATCGCTGAAGCGCCGCTCAAGCACGCAGACACTCCAGTGAGACGCGCCACAGAACGCCGCTGAAACATGGCTGAAGCGCCACTCAAACACGCTGGCACTCGAGCTGAAACGCGTCATAGAATGCCGCTGTGAAACATGACTGAAGCGCCACTCCAAACACACACACACACACTCCAGCTCAAACCTATAAGAAACGTAACCGGAGTAATGAAAACAATTTCGAGAAAGTAATCTGAAGCTCAGAGTAGGTGCAACACATATTATAACTTACACACGCACAGATCCCGCAGCCAATCTCGAATCGGCGACCTCTGCATCCGACCTCCAGTCACCTGGCATACTGGCCTCACCATCATCTGTTTGGAGGCGGCAGCCCTGCACCAGGCGCGGGTGATTGTAGCCAATGGGGAGCGAGGCGATCTGCATGAAGACGTCCAGCATCACGTTGCCGTCGACGTCACCACGTAGTTGCCCAGCGAGCGCTCGTAGTCGACGAAGAACTGCACGCTGCCTGACGCCTGCCGGGGCAGTGGGCGATCACGTGAACTGGCCGCCCTGCCGTGGAAAGAACATGGCGTCCGAGCCGCTGCCATCCCGTCCGAGGGCGGGCGGGTCGCCACCGGCTGACGTGTGGGAGGAGAGCCGCAGGCGGACACCTGCGACTCCTGCGCCGTTGGCAGACGGGCGTGGTGGCGAGCGTCGTGCAGCGACCTCCAGCCCGCTGCGTGCGCCGGGAGGCAACTGCTCGCCGAAGTCGGACCACGACTCGGACCGGTGGGTCCGGGGAGCAGGACCGGGCGCCGTCCCGCGCCGGCGCGAGACGGCAGGGCCGGCGTCACACGACGGGCGCGGTATTGCACACCGCCGGAGGCCGGCTGGGACACACCTGGATCTGGTCGAGCTCCTTCAGCAGCTGCTGGCTGCGCGGCCCTGGCACAGCTGTCACCATGGCAGGGCCAGTCGGCTCGCCCGGCACCAGTGAGGCCACGCCACGCACTGGGGGCAACAGCAGCTGCAGGTCAGGCGTGACGACACTGGCTGGCAGTGTCAGTGTCATGTGATGGTTTGGGGGGTGTCACTGTCATACACAAGAGGCGTGCATTGTTAATGTTAAGTACAGCCCACTAGGGCCAGTGTCAAATGGTGTGATGTCTGCCTTGTCAGTGTCAAAAGTGATGGCTTTAATGGCATCATGATTGGTAGTGCAGTGTCACTTGTCAAATATCATAACACAAATGTGGTGCCAGGCTAAAGGAAATCACTCTCAAGAACACAAACACATGCATGTTGCATACCTAGCCTTCATCGAGATTCCAATAGATCTCAAGACAAAAACCATCACATGTAGGTCACATAGATACATGGAGACTGCAATCAATTTGTGTCCAGAACACACAATACCTTACCCTGGTAATGATCAAAACCACATCAAGGTACAGGGGTATCTAACTTACATTAACCTTTTGTATAAAAATGAATCATCCAGCCCTGTCTGGTGAGTGTGGACTACTTGCACTGAAACAACACTGTGCATTGGCAAGTCAGATTGATGCAGTGCAAAATTGGGCTCTTACTCACACAGTACAAGTAGCCTGGTACTGTGTCATGTACTTAAACACCTTTGATGAAAACACTTGCAACTTTGATGACTGATTGAAGATTGAAAACAAGATTGAAAATCACATTCAAACTTTGTCTACATCACTTACCTTGATATGGTGAAGAATGCATCCACCTTCTCATCATTCCTGCTGCCCACATTGTCCTCATGTTGAGTTTATCTGAAATGTTGCGATTCAGTCTGTGATAACATGGCTCAGACACATGCAAGGAACCCAGAAGTCAATATAACTACAAACAGCCTTCTGCTAATGGGATCAGTTTTGAGAAATGCACAAAAATTACATCAATACAATCTGGTTAAGTGCTACGCATCACAGTTTCCTCAGTAATTTGAAACACGACCAAATTTTAAGGGTACTGAGCAGGCTGATAGCCAAAATTAGCAACAATTGTTCATAAATTATCAGCATGTTTCCCATAATATGGTGTTACAATAAGAAACTGATTGATTCAGACTAGTCTGAAGCCCTACATAATAGTAACATATCACTTGCACCTTGTCAATGCTATGGCATTAAGTAAAACTCACACCACATTCCAGAATGTAACAATCCTTAAACCATGACTTCAAATACTTATCTAGACTGCAACATACCAGCCAGCATTGGAAAACAGTAGTTGTGTCAGTTCACACTTCACAGTAAAATAGTCATGATCTCATACCAACAATGGTGCTCACAGGCACACCACTGTCACAATCTGGTGCTGATTATTGATCAGCAGGCAAGTTAGCTGGGCAGTTAATAAGTCAGCTGAGCATGGACCTGTGCTCCAGCAGCAAGAAAAAGGAGTAGTATAGTAGGGGCCAGGATAGGTTTAGGAGTAGGAGTAAGGGTAGGGGTAGAAGTATGGATAGGGGTAAGGGCAGGGGAGAAGCATGAGTATGAGAAGGGGTGGGGTGAGGTCAAGCTGCTATAAGGTTAGCTTAGGGAAATTGTAAGCCTTCTAAGGAAAAAGACATTATCTGTCATTCTGGTGCTCATCAAAAAAATCTTACTTGTAAGCACATTGCATGGTGTGGCTGCAGTAGTGCCTGGTTAGTGAGTATAGGGCATGCTGAAAGTATACTTTGTCTGTAATTAGTATACAAAAGTTTGGGAAAATATGGCATGGTATGCTGAAACAGGATTGTAAATTCAATAAAAACATAGCAAATCTATCCTTACCAACTTCACCTCCAGATTTGTATATTAATCACAACTTAGCAATGGGAATTTGGAAAAACATGCAGGTTGTATTGGTCAGAACCAAAATATTCAGGAAATAAAGAGCATGACAAGGTTTTGTTTCATACACATTTAGGGCCACCTGGACCCTTGTGAAATGCTCCTCATCCAAAAACTCAGACAAACTGTGCTTGAGTCAAGAGAGAGGAAAGGTATGCAAATTTTCTAATTAAAAAGACCAATTCCCAAACTTTGACCCTCATACAAAAAAACATTCCCTTTCAAAGCATAACACAGCCAAGACTTGACACATATTTGCAACAGTTTTTAAGAAGCTCAACTTTAACCAATCTGTTCATTACTTCTGGCTCTTTGTTTACTATCAGATATGCATATCATCATTTTGCACCACACCAATGCTTAAAGCCACTGGGTATCCTAGATGATGGCGGAAATAACGTTACCTTCAGTGTCCGTTGAGACGCTGGTCAGTAACCTCACTCAGTATCTAATGAATTATCATATACATGTGCTATTAGCAGCCCATATCTGTTACAGACATGAGAAATAAATTACGGACAGCGGCTCGACCAACTTGGCCGTTACATGAGTTTCGCGAGAGTCAATCATGTGCTCAATCCACAACAATTAACAGCTCTCCATTTCCATCGGACACTGATCCCTCTCCTCAAGCTCAAGCGAGCGAATGCTCAGGGCCCTCCGTAAGACAGCCTTGATTTGCAGATAGCCTTGCAGCTCTGATTTGCATGCTCTGGCGCAGGATGTCTACCTGTTGCGCAGTATTAGAGTTTTCCGTGTGAAAAATCATGTGATGTAAATTAAAATGCGCGGGGTCAGATGGCCTCTCGTCGATGTTTTTCACCATATTCGCAAGGGCAGATTTGCCAACGTTTCGAAGGATCTGCACTCCTGGACACTAGAGATGGATGTTAATATGGAAGTATTAAGGACGTGGTGTCACAAGAGGGAGGGAAGTGGGACTGACAATGAAATATGATATAACATGACCAAAGATAGGCGAACACGATGATGAACAAGTTTCTCCCAAGACTTCGCCCACTTTCTTCCCAAAGTTCAGCGTCGATGGAGGCCAAGTTTGGGGGTTGAAGCCCTAATTGAATCGGAAACTCATCCCTGGTGGCCGATGGACATCAACGGAGGGAGGCAATGGCGGGGTCAGGATTTCGTATCGGGAGGAGATAGATTAGAGCAAAGCAGGCCCTTTCGACCGAAGGGGCCGGCTTCTTCATGGTTGTAGCCCTGTTCGTGGATGCGGGATATTTCTAGCCTTGCATATCATTTTGATGCCCCATAACCCATGTTTGGTGAGTTAGAAGTACTTAGAGCTTGGTAAAGCGCTAAATAGCATTGAGCCCTGCAGTTCTAGTGCCGGCCGAGGCAGTCTTGATCGCTCCAGGGACCTCCACATTGGCCGTGAGCTCTCCCATTAGTCAGGACCTCACTGCGTTTCCGAAAGTCCCACGCATGCTTGCGAGCGCCAGGGTGTTTCGACTGTTCGTGCGTATGCCCCAACCAGATGCTGGCGGTCGTGAGGCGGCCTTTTGCCAATATCGATGCTCGCACGTTGCCTTTGCTTTTTAAGATCTTAGTACGTCCGTACTTAGAGTATGGCAACGTCTCTGGGGCCCATTCGGCAAACTGGACCAGAAACGGCTGGAACGGGTTCAGCGACGAGCTACCCGGCTTGCCTATGAAGTGAGGCGCCAGCCATACCCTGAGAGGCTCAGACTCCTTCAGTTGCCCTCGCTGTGCTATCGTCGTCGCAGGGGAGACATGATAACAGTCTACCAGCTGTTTCACGGAGGCATGTCGCTATCGGAAGAGGAGTTCCTGACAAGGCACAACTCGGAGGTGACGAGAGGACACCAATGGAAGCTCAGAAAACCTCGAGCTGGGACTATCGTCCGTCGTAACTCATTCAGCACGCGGGTTGTCAATGACTGGAACGCTCTTCCACACCCGGTCGTGGCATCGACCTCAGTTGAACAGTTCAAGTCTAGGCTTGATACGCACTGGGCTGACATCATGTACGACGTCCCAGACTGAATCTTCCCATAATTTGAGACTGTTCGGTTACCGGACCGGGAGCCTGACGAGACCGGGACCTACAGGCCTAGTGGCCTCTTTCAATTCCCGATCACCATGAGGTTAGGTAAGGTAAGGTATGAACCTGGCTAAATTACTTCATGCGTCCAAGTCCGAGACTACAGGATAATGATTTCTCTTGGTATCTTCCCCTTAGGCCAGCAGTCGGATATGCGACTATGACTTTTGTGGGATCGAAGCCCCTTTCTTCTGATCAAGCAGAGGAATCACGTGCCAGGACCGATCTGTGCTAGGCTGCGCTTCGGATGGCCGCAGTCACCCCGAGACGCCCGATCCTCGCTCAGCTGACAGTTGATTATTCTGGGAGCCAGCCACACCGACGGCTGCCTTCGCTTCACTGTGCGGAACTAGTGAGTCGGAATGCAACCCGCTGCCCTGTCGGCCGTCTTTTCATTTCTTTCCTCGACGATATTTTTTGCGCGCAATTGTCGAGCACAAGTTTACGCGCCCACGATTTTGTAAGTGATTTCCGTTAGTTCATGAACTTCCGACCCTCATACCTGTGCATCACGTTCTTCGTGCATATTAAATGTTAGGATATTGTGTACGCCTTCATAGCACTCAGAGGAAAAGCCTCTCTAAGCCATCAGTCATCAGCTGATCACAGCGACTAATCGGCTAGGCGTAAATAGGAGTCAAGCTCGTGTTTGATTTTGACAACATTTAACAGCCAACTAAGGTTTACTTTGCTATGTCTTCTCCAAAATACTTGACCACAGGATCCACCACGATCTGGAGAAGATGAACTAGCTCCATGTATGTGCATGCGTAGTACGCCCAGTTGTTCAGGGCTGAGCTCAGTAAGATGGGTTCCTGTACAAAATCACATATCTACGAATCTTGCAACTTAATGGTCGGGATATGACTTTTCGAAGCGGGCTCAAACTCTAGGGAGTACCACAGTTTTGCGTTCCTCTCCCCCTTGACGAAATCCTGGCTACGCTACTGGTCCCAGCGAGCAATTAACACGCGCTCGGGTGGGAGGTCAAAACTG